GACAATATTCAACATTCTTTTTAAAAAAATTAAAAAAAAGAAAAGAAATTTCAACCCAGAATTTCACATCCAACCAAACTAAGTTTCATAAGCAAAGAAGAAGTAAGATTCTTTTCAGACAAGCAAATGCTGAAGGAATTCATTACCACCAGACCTGCCTTACAAGAACTCCTGAAGGAAGCACTAAATATGGAAAGGAAAGACCATTACAAGCCACTGCAAAAACACACTTAAATACACAGACCAGTGACACAATAAAGCAATGACACAAACAAGTCTGCATAATAACCAGCTAACCTTATGATGACAGGGTCAAATCCACACATATCAACACTAACCTTGAATGCAAATGGGCTAAACGCCCCCAATGAATAGGCACAGTGTGGCAAGGTGGATAACTAACCATGACCCATTGGTATGCTGTCTTCAAGACACTCATCTCACATGCAATGACACCCATAGTTTCAAGATAAAGGGGTATAGAAAAGTCTACCAAGAAAATGGAAAATGATGAAAAGCAGGGGTTGTAATCTTAAGACAAAACAGACTTTAAACAAAGGGCAAAAAAGACAAAGACAGGGATTACATAATGGTAAAGGGTTCAATTCAACAAGAAGACCTAACTATTCCAAATACATAAGCACCTAACACAGGAGCCCCCAGATTAATAAAGCAAGTTCTTAGAGGCCTCTAAAGAAACGTAGACTCCCACACAATAATAGTGGGAAACTTCAACACCCCACTAACAGTATTAGACAGGTCACTGAAGTAGAAAATTAACAAAGATATTTAGTATCTGTACTCAGCACCAGATCAAATGGATCTGATAGACATCTACAGAACTCTCCACTTGAAAGCAGCAGAATATACATTCTCCTCATTGCCACGTGAAACATACCCTAAAATTGATCATATAATTGGACATAAAACACTCTTCAGCAAATGCAAAAGAAATGAAATCATAACAACCACTCTCTCAGACCAAAGCACAATCAAATTAGAAATCAAGACTAAGAAATTCACTGAAAACTATACAATTACATGGAAATTGAATAATCTTCTCCTGAGTGGCTTTTGGTTAAATAATGAAATTAAGGCAGAAATCAAGAAATTCTTTGAAACTAATTAGAACAAAGATACAACGTATCAGAATCTCTGGGACACAGTTAAGGCAGTGTTGAGAGGAAAATTCATAGCACTAAATGCCAACACCAAAAAGTTAGAAAGGTCTCAGTTTAACAGTGTGACATCACCACTGAAGCAACTAAAGAACCAAGAGAAAACCAACCCAAAGCTAGCAGAAGACAAGAAATAACCAAAATCAGAGACGAACTGAAGGAAATTAAGACACGAAAAAATATTCAAAAGATCAGCGAATCCATGAGTTAATTTTTTGAAAAAAAATAATAAAATAGATATGCTGCTAGCTAGACTAATGAAGAAGAAATGAAAGAAGATCAAAATAAACAAAATTAGAAACAACAAAGGGGGTAATCATTGATCCACAGAAATACATATCATTATCAAAAAATATTATGAACACCTCTATGTACATCAACTAGAAGAAATGGATAAATTCCTGGACAGACACCCTCTCAAGACTGAGCCAGGAAGAAATTGAATCCCTGAAGAAAACAATAACAAGCTCTGAAATTGAATCACTAATAAATGGCCTACCAACCAAAAAAAATTCCAGGACCAGACAAATTCACAGCCAAATTCTATCAGATGTACAAAGAAGAGCTGGTACCATTTCTACTGAAAGTGTTCCAAAAAATGAGGAGGAGGGACTCCTCCCTAACTCATTGTATGAGGCCAGCAACACCCTGATACCAATACTTGGCAGAGACAAAACGAAAAAGGTAACTTCAGTCCATTATCTTTGATGAACATCAATGCAAAACTCTTCAACAAAATACTGGCAAACCAAATCCAACAACACGTCAAAATACTTATCCACCACAATCAAGTAGGTGTTATCCTTAGTATGCAAACTGGTTCAACACACACAAATCAATAAATGTGACTCATCACATAAACAGAACTAAAGACAAAAGCCACGTGATTATCTCAAAAGATGCAAAAAAAGACTTTTAATAAAATTAACACCCCTTTATGTTAAAAACTCTCAATAAACTAGGTATCAAAGGAACAGATCTCAAAATAATAAGAGCCACCTATGACAAACCCACAGCCAACATCATACTGAATGGGCAAGAGCTGGAAGCATTCACATTGAAAACTGGCACAAAACGAGGATGCCCTATCTCACCACTCCTATTTAACACGGTACAGGAAGTTCTTGCCAGAGAAATCAGGCAAGAGAAAAACAATAAAAGGCATTCGAATAGGAAGAGAGGAAGTCAAACTATCCCTATTTGAAAATGACATGATCTTATATCTAGAAAATCCCATACTCTCAGCCCAGAAGCTCCTTAAGTTGATAAACAGCTTTGGCAAAGTATCAGGATATGAAATCAGTGTACAAAAATCACTAGTAATCTTATACACAAACAACAGTCAAGCCAAGAGCCAAATCAGAGCTATTCACAATCACTGCAGAAAGAATAAAATACCTAGGAATTCAGCTAACCAGGGAAGTGGCAGATCTCTACAAGGAGAACTACAAAACGCTGTTCAAAGAAATCATAGATGACACAAACAAATGGAAAAACATTCTATGTTCATGGATAGGAAAAATTAATATTGTTAAAATGGCCACACTGCCCAAAGCAATCTATAAATTCAACGCTACTCCTATTAAACTACCAATGACATTCTTCACAAAACTGGAAAAAGTAAATAAATTCATATAGAACCGAAAAAGAGCCTAAACTGCCATGGCAATCTTAAGCAAAAAGAAAAAGCTGAAGGCATCATGCTACTTGACTTTAAACTATATTACAGGGCTATAGTAACCAAAACAGCATGGTACTGGTACAAAAAACAGGCACATAGACCAATGGAACAAAATAGAGAGTCCAGAAATAAGGCCACACACCGACAATTATCTGATCTTCAACAAAGCTGACAAAAACAAGCAAAGGGGAAAGGAATCCCTATTCAATAAGTGGTGCTAGAATAACTGACTAACTATATGCAGAAGATTGAAACTGGACTTCTTCCTTACATCACACACAAAAATTAACTCAAGATGGATTAAAGACTTAAATTTAAAACCCAAAACTATAAAAACTCTGGAAGACAACATAGGCAGTACCATTCTGGACATAGGAATGGGCAAAGATTTCATGACAAAGATAACAAAAGCAATTGCAACAAAAACAAAAAAAATTGACAAATGGGATCTAATTAAATGAAAGAGCTTCTGCCTAGCAAAAGAAACTATCAACAGATAGACAACCTACAGAATGGGAGAAAACTTTTGCAAACTATGCATCTGAGAAAGGTCTAATAGCCAGCATCTGTATATTTGAATAAGGAACTTAAACAAATTTACAAGCAAAAACCAAACAACCCCACTAAAAAGTGGGGATAAAATATGAACAGACACTTTTCAAAAGAAGACATACATGTGGCCAACAATCATATGGAAAAAAAGCTCAACATCACTGATCATTAGAAAAATGCAAATCAAAACCACAATGAGATACCATCTTACCCCAGTCAGAATGGCTGTTATTAAAAAGTCAAAAAATTACAGATGTTGCTGAAGTTGTGGAGAAAAAGAATGCTTATATACTGTTTAGTTGGACTGTAAATTAGTTCAACCATTATGGAAAACAGTGTGGAGATTCCTCAAAGACTTAAAACAGAAATATCATTCCACCCAGCAATTTTATTACTGAGTATCTACCCAAAGGAATATAAATTGTTCTATTATAAAGACACGTGCATGTGTATGTTTATTGCAGTACCATTCACAACTGCTAAGACATGGAATCAACCTAAATTCCCATCAATGGTAGACTGGATAAATAAAATGTGGCGGCCAAGCGCAGTGGCTCACGCCTATAATCTCAGCACTTTAGGAGGCCAAGGTGGGCGGATCACAAGGTCAAAAGAAGGAGACCATCTTGGCCAACATGGTGAAACTCTGTCTCTACTAAAAATACAAAAATTAGCTGAGCATGGTGGTGCGTGCCTGTAGTCCCAACTACTAACGAGGCTGAGGCAGGAGAATCGCTTGAACCTGGGAGGTGGAGGTTGCAGTAAGCCAAGATCGTGCCACTCCTGCCTGGTGACAGAATGAGACTCCATCTCAAAAAAAAAAAAGAAAAAAGAAAGAAAGAAAGAAAGAAAATGTGGCACCTATAACCATGGACTACTTTATACCCATATAAAAGAATAAGATCATGTCCTTTGCAGGATCATGGATGGAGCTGGAAGCCACTATTCTTAGCAAAGTAATGGAAGAACAAAAGTACAAATACCACATGTTCTCACTTATAAGTATAAGCGAGCTAAATGACGAGAACACATGGACACACAGAGGGTAGGAACACACACTGGGGCCTATCAGAGGGTAGTGGACAGGTGGAGGTAGAGGATCAGGAAAAATAACTAATGGGTGCTAGGCTTAATATCCAGTTGATGAAATAATCTGTACAACAAACCCCCATGACAGAAGTTTACCTATATAACAATCCTGAACACGTACCCCTGAACTTAAAATAAAAGTTAAAAATACAGAGAGAGAGAGGGAGAGAGAGAGAGGGAGAAATCTGTGAGATACAGCTAAAGCTTTTCTTAAAGGCAGTACACAGTGTAAAATGCTTCTGTTAGAAAAGTTGTATGGCATTCACACTTCAGAGATATATGCTTCTCAGTAGTCACGCCTTTAAGTAATCCACTCCAACACTGAATTAGAGCTGACTGTGTAACCAACAGATAATAGCGGAAGTGAAAATGAGTGACTTCCAAAGCTAGGTCATAAAAAAGCATGCAGCTTCCCCTTCGGCCTCTTGAATTATTCACTCTTGGGAAACCAGCCACATGGTTATGAAATCACTCAAATATTGGAAAGACATGCAGAGAACCTTGCCAGCCATGTGAGTGTAGCACACTGGAAGAGGACCTTCCTGTCCCACTCAAGCCTTCAGACAACTGCAGCCCACCAGATGTCTCACTGCAACTCCAATGGAAACTCCAACAGAAATTTAGAATGTCCTAGCTGAGTCCCTTCTAAATTCCTTATTCACAGAACCCATGAACATCATAAATGGTTCTTTTACTTCATTAGGTTTTGAAGATTTGTTATGCAGCATTAGTAACTGGAATAAGAAAAAGTGTGTAAAATTATTGATCTAAGCTTTCACTTAAAAAACCTAAAAGAAGAAACTTGCCCACTTTTGGACAATAGTGGTTTGAGCAAGGTTCTTTTTGATTATCTATTTTCTTAAGCTTTCTGCTAAGTGGTCTGCCTTTGTTGGTATTATATTCAGCTTTTAGCCTCCACTAAAAGAGACTATTTTTAAAACAGACTTAACAAAATCTTACTGCTTTGAAATTTTTTTTTTCTAAATGAGGGCAAAACAAAGACATTTCCAGAGGAACAAAAACAAAGATTTTGTTACTAGTAAATCTGTCACACAAGATATATTAATAGAAGTAATGGTAAATAGTAAATAATGGAAGCTTTTAGTAAATAGTAATGGAAGAAATAGTAAATAGTAATAGAAGCTTTTCAGCCTAAAAGCAAATGACCCCTGTGTAATTTGAAATCACATAGAAAAACAGAGCACTGGTAAAGGTAATTATATAATTACCAAAGAGAGTATAATTTTACAGTTCTTCTCCTTCTCTTAAGTGATTTATAGACATACATATTAATGGAGCAGAATAAAAAACCCAGAAATATATCCACACAAATATACCAACTGATTTTTTACAAAGATACAAAAGCAATTCAATGGTGCTGAACCAAGTAGACATCCATAGGCCAAAAGATAAGCCTTGACCTAAGCCCACACATAATACAAAAAAAAAAGAAAAAATGGATCACAAACATATGTAAATGTAAAACTGCAAAGCTTTTAGAAAAAAATGCAGAAAATCTTCAGGATTTTATACTGGATACCAAAAGCATAACCTGTTTTTTTAAAAAAAAAATTGGACCTCATCAAAATTTAATTTATTGTGCAAAACATATCTATAAGAGGATAAAAAGGCAAGCTATAGAACGGAGTAAAACATTTGCAAACCACATATCGGGCAAAGAACTATTTTTCTCTAGAATATATAAAGAACTCTCAAAACTCAACATTAAAAAGGTACTCCAATTGGAAATAGGCAGAAGACATGAAGAGACATTTCACTGAAGAGAATATATAGATGGCAAATATGTACATGAAAAGATGTTCAAAAACATTCGCTGTTAGAGAAATTAACAGCTAATGGAAATTAACAGTCACAATGGAAACTACACAACTATTAGAATGATTCGTAAAAAGTAGTGATGACCCCAAATGCTGAATATGTGGAGAAGCCGGATCACTCATACATTGCTGGTGGAAATATAAAATTGTATAGCCATTCTGGGAAATAATTTAGACATTTCTTTAAAAATTAAACATGTAACAACCATACCATTCAGTAATTGAAATCTTGTTCGTGTATTTCAGAGAAAGGACAACTTATGTTCACATAGACACCTGTACACTTAGGTTCACAGAAGCTTTATTCATAATAGGCAGAAACTGGAAAAACCCAGATGTTTTTTAATAAGTGAATCATTAACAAGCAATGGGACAGCCATTCCATATTTGGTAGGCAGAATAATGACCCCGCAAAGATGGCCATGCCCTGTCTCCACAACCTGTGAATATGTTACCTTACATGGCAAAAATAACTTTGTAGATGTGATTAAGTCTATAGGATAATAAGCCATGAAAGCACGTTCAACATCATTATTTATGAGACAGTACCTCATACACATTAGAATGGCTAAAATTTAAAACTTAAAGTACAAAATATGGATAAGAAATGTAGAGCAACTGGAATAGTCGTTCATCATTACTGATAGTGTAAAAGTATACAACCACTTTGGAAAGGATTTTGGTACATCTTTTTTAAAAAGATAAACATATCCCTACCTTATGACCTGGCAGTTCCACTTCTAGATGTTTACCCAAATAAATGAAGGCATGTGTTCACAAACAGACTTGAATTAAGAACGTGCACTGCATTGGGAAGCCAAGACGGGCGGATCACGCGGTCAGGAGATCAAGACCATCCTGGCCAACACGGGTGAAACCCCGTCTCTACTAAAAATACAAAAAAATAAACATTAGCCGGGCGTAGTGGCAGGCGCCTGTAGTTCCAGCTACTCAGGAGGCTGAAGCAGGAGAATGGCGTGAACCCAGGAGGCAGAGCTTGCAGTGAGCCGAGATCGCGCCACTGCACTCCAGCCTGGGCGAGTGAGTGAGACTCTGTCTCAAAAAAAAAAAAAAAAAAAAAAAAAGAATGTGCACAGCAGCCTTATCTAAAACAGCCAGCCCTGGAAACAATTCTAATGTCCAGCAACAAAAAAATTAATAAATTATGGTACATTTAGTCAATTGAATACTACTATAAATAATGAACTCCTAGGATCACAGATCTCTGGTCTCTATGTTACTATGGTGGGAGCTATGTGATTCTATGCATTTTTCAAAACTCATAGAACTGTACTCCACAAAGAATGAATTTTACCATATGCAAATTTTTTAAACTCAATCACGATGGTGGGAAGAAACCAAGACGGAATGCAGAGTGTAACAAATGAACCTAACTTTTTTACGAATGAATGGCATACCCCAACCAGATGGGGTAGAGAGAAATGAGCTGACCTGTCTTTCTTTAGAAGTGTTTTGACCATATGTAATAAGGTTAGAGAGTAAAAATGTACACAAACACTGTATTCTAGTTGGAAAATTCATTTTTTCACAGAGGTTTGAGGTACCATTCTGAAATAATTTTCAGAATGTTAACTAGGGCTGAAGCATTTAGTAAATAAATTGCAGAGAATGAGAGCCAAGTTTCTCAGTGCCAGAAAAAGAAGTTTCAAATAATCAAAGGGGAGTTGTTAGAATGAACCCTGTGGTGCTGCTGGATTGGAGTCAGGGATATCATTGTGATTTCATGTTCATCCTAATGTGTGTATGTATATACTAGAACCTATATTTCTATCTGTAGGCATATCTTTGTATATACAAATAGACATATACAGAAATAAAAATAGATTTATGTGTACACATGTGTTAGTAGACGTACACATATTTCCTAGTTCTGTTGTCTGATAGAGCCTGGAGGTACTGCCACTCCAGCAGCAAGACACATATTGGGTGCCCAGATTTTGGTTTCAAAATACCATTCTCCCATATGAGAAACCAGGATTCCTTGGACTAATGGTCGATTCTAGGACTTGAACAGGAAAAATACAACTCGCACTATATAAACCTAGAGCATATTGTGGTGCCAGAGAGAAAAGAAGTGATTTAAAAAATGAAAAGGTAAAGGCCACCTGAAAGAAATCCTAATGGTCAATGCAGAAACAATTTGAGCAACCAAATGAATAACAGTTTTGATTATAACCCAAAGAATGAAATATAAATAGCCATGAGAGTTAATACTGATATAAATATTTGAAAAAACAGATAGGGATGAAGGGACAACCCTTTATTATAGAAGAATTCTACTTAATAAATGAGGCAGAAATGAGAAACATGGGAAACGATCATTAGAACACTGTAGTAATCATTGCTAAAGGCAAAATTCACTGATGAATGCTAAAATTCATCAGTGAGCCAAGCTTTCAAGAGAAACAGTTTATCTGCATGGTCTCAAATTATCTCCCCAGAAATATTTATTAATTACTGTAGTAGTTTTAATGTACATCTAAAATTTCTTTAATACTCCTCTCTTCAGAGAGGTGCAGAGAGGAAGCTTAATTCCCCTCACCTTGAGCGTGGACTAAACTTAATGACGTGCTTCTAAAATAGAACATGAAAACAGAGAAAACAATAACTGACTGGACGTGGTGGCTCACACCTGTAATCCGAGCACTTTGGGAGGCAGAGGCAGGTGGATCACCTGAAGTCAGGAGTTTGAAACCACCCTGGCCAATGTGATGAAACCCCGTCTCTACCAAAAATACAAAAATTAGCCAGGCGTGGTGGTGCACACCTGTAATCCCAGCTACCAGGGAGGCTGAGGGAGGAGAATCACTCAAATCCAGGAGGTAGAGGTTGTGGTGAGTAGAGATCATACCACTGCACTCTTGCCTGGGTGACAGAGTGAGACTCCATCTCAAAAAAAAAAAAAGAAAAAAGAAAAAAATAACTGTACAGTGAAGAAACGTGACAGATGCCACCAAAACAAGTGATAAAAATTAGCATAATCCATAATAAAACACATTGACATTATGTGCCCTCAATGTCATGTCACATACCTCTCTGGTACTCTTCCCAAAAATCTGTAACTTCAGCCCAGTCATGAGAAATCATCATAAGAAGCCTAATGGAGGGGCATTTTACAAAATACCTAATGGCTGCTCTTCGAAAGTGTCAACATCATGAAAGCTAAGGAAAGACCGAGAAACTGTCATAGATTGAAGGAAACTAAGGAAACATGATAATTAAATACAATCTAGATTCCTGGCTTGAACCCTGAAGCAGGTTTTAAAAAGCTCATTGGTTGACTTTCTTCACAGAATTGGAAAAATCTGCTTTAAAGTTCATATGGAATCAAAAAAGACCCCACATTGCCAAGACAATCCTAAGCCAAAAGAACAAAGCTGGAGGCATCACGCTACCTGACTTCAAACTATACTACAACGCTACAGTAACCAAAACACCATGGTACTGGTATCAAAACAGAGATATAGACCAATGGAACAGAACAGAGCCCTCAGAAATAATACCACACATCTACAGCCATCTGATCTTTGACAAACCTGACAAAAACAAGAAATGGGGAAAGGATTCCCTATTTAATAAATGGTGCTTAGAAAATTGGCTAGCCATAAGTAAAAAGCTGAAACTGGATCCTTTCCTTACTTCTTATACAAAAATTAATTCAAGATGGATTAGAGACTTAAATGTTAGACCTAAAACCATAAAAACCCTAGAAGAAAACCTAGGTAATACCATTCAGGACATAGGCATGGGCAAGG